TCAAATAACATTCATATCAAGTTAGATCATTTCTCCTCCCCATTAATCATTCAAAATATTTTCTCTAATCTGGAACAGTTTTTCTCCATCTTCAATCATCTTTCTATCTTTAAGGGACTCTCATAAGAAATGTTTTATTCCACTTGTATATCTATTATTTTAATGTTTTTCAGTCAACACCTTAGATTTATTACTGTTTGTCTTTAAAGCTTAATACTTTTGGTAAATAAATGATATTGTAAAGAGTGTTCTCTGCCAAGGACGCTCAACTTTTGTAGAAATATGTCATTAAAACTGTTTCTAATCTACTAATAGATTTATCACAATATTCTCCAAATACTGTTACCTTGGTTTGGATTAATTTCACAGACGTGTTAGAGTTTCCTCGTTGATTTAATTTACTTTAGCCTATAATAATTCAAAATCTTGCAAGAAAATAAAAATTTAAAAAGCAAGGTCAGACTACATTGGTGTTCGTCCTGTTAATCTGGGTGAAAGCTCCAGTCTGTCTCTGCTCCAGACGTAACCACAGTATGATCCACACATGAGACTGTGATAAATGAAAAACATCTTTGACCTGTCACATCATCTTGAGAGAAGGTCTGTGTGAGTTCATCTACTCACATTAACTTGAGTGCTGAGATTTCTGCTTCCGTCTGGTCTGCCAGCCTGAACTATACCTGTTGGTCTTTAAAAGTTATTCAAATAAATTTATGTTAATATAAAAAAGACACTTACCAATTTTTTGCCTGATGTATGATGGTTTTTCCCGCCTTAGCTTATATAAGTCTGCGAACATATGCTGTTATTTAAGTGATCTTGTACTAGGCGGCTGTTGATATTACAGTTTCTAGCTAAGCTGCGTGGCAGTCTGGTGGGGGCCCCTGGTACCACCAAACACACCACCTGCAGAAAGCTGTGCGTAAGATTAGTTCAAAAGTCATAATTTAGTCCAAGATTAACTTAGAATTTATGTCATAGTTTGTTAGATCAACATTTATAGCAAGACAATCGCTCATTTCAGGACACGCACCATGGACACACTTTTTTCATATCACTTTCACATCACGTACACATTTTTGTTTTGACTAGCGTCAGTTTTAGCTCAAGAACACACACTTAGGAACACCACCCACATAGATGCACCTCATTCCTTATCTCTTATCAGCTTTTCAAGGCTGTAGACATATACAAAACACTTTACCACTTATCCTTTAAAACCAAATCCCTAAATATCCCTCAACTGCCTATTCTAAAGACTAACCTGACCCTATATTACTACTCTAACAACTTCACACGATCTTTTACCAGTCCTCCCTTGGACTCACTTCAGTCCTCCCTCGGACTCACTTCAGTCCTCCCTCGGACTCACTTCAGTCCTCTCTTGGACTCACTTCCGTCCTCCATCGGACTCATACCTTGTAACCTAGGTGCATTTTTTAAAGATCCTCCCGTCTCAATAAGCACTGCTATAGCCAACACGTCATTTCTAGCTGTGCTCTTTGACCAGTCTGCATCCAGCTGCAGACTACTAGGGGACTATCACCAAACAGGATCTCCGGGCCGACAACATCTTTCAGAGAGTTAGCAAGGCTCTCCACAGGCACCCGAAACTTAGTAAAGTTTCTTCGAACTGTCAGAACGGCCCACACCTCTTAACACTTTCCCGACGTTCACGTATTAACGCGTTTCTAGTAAACAGCGACGTGCAGTTACACCCGGAACATCTTCGGACTGTGACAGCTTTTCTTAAAGATCTTACCGTCAACAGAAATGACAATATAATTTTCACGCGGGGCTTTAAACCTCCAGTCACGCCGTTTGTTTAAACTAATCTAAAATCAAACGAAAGTTCATGTGCGGGCTTTTAAATCAACCGGACGATTCTTATTTTCAGGGAAAAAGTAGCGTTTGGCGTGTTCGTAATGCTGTCGGACCACTTCCGGTAAGCAAGTTGCTAACGTTTCCGGTCCGTTTCCACGTGCGTCCCAGCGAGAAAAACGTCTTGTTTATAAACTTTACGTCCGATGAATAAAATAAAAAATCCCATATTATACTGTAATGTTCCACTGCCTTTTAGTCCACTAAACTGCTTACATCGGACCGAAGACAGAGCAGAAATGACCGTCCTTATGGGACATGCAGAAATTCAATGTAACAGGTTTTCTGCTTACCTTGATATGAAAATAGTCAGCTTGTTCAGTCTGCTCTGACTCCGTTCACCTGCCGCTGTGTCACCATTAAATAATAAAAATTGAGTTACCACTTCAAAATGGAATCCGGGTCACGGCACCAACTGTTAAAGACGTGAGCTGGCTGCGGGCCACCGGATCCAGAAACCCCCTCCAGCCCACGTCCTCACCCCCGGCTCAAACCTTCCTCAGAAGTGGCAACTATACTAATCAATAAATCAAGGAAACATCAATTAAGTTTTATCAATTATATTAGAAAAAGGCAGTGAAAGATTACAATTTATAGCGCTGGACTCTATTCAGTCTGTGACGCGTTCACAGACCCGGAAGAAAGAGCTCTGATGTCTCGTGTCATCATTAATTTATAGGGCCCTAGACTCCGCCCTTCGCAGAAGGGGGAGCTCAACCTGTCAGTGTATGAGGGGGCGTGACTAAGTTTGATCTTATGTGGACTGACGTGTTAAGAAAAATATGAAACGGTGCTTCAAAGCCTTTCTAGTGATGTGGCAAGCTGATTAAACTATTTCTTGACAGATATTGAATTATCAGGGAGACTCTCTTAAGCGTTTGCTGGCCCAGTTTAACCCAGTCAGAACCGGGTCATAATTTCATTATAATCCCGTCTCTGAGCAGATCAAAACATAGGACCAGTCTAAATAGGAAATATCTTAACATAACGTTACTGCTGATCTTCCTTACGATGGAGGTCGGGGTTAAACGTGGGGAGGGTTGATCCAAATGGTTCCAGGTGAAGGAGGTGTACGTTTGGACAATGGCAGGCATTAGGTAAGTGGTTGGAAGTTGTGGAAGCAGCTGACGAGGCACAGAGGAGCTTGAGGTCACAGAGGAGGATTCAGGAAACAGGAGAACATCAAGGGTAACTCACTGGAGGCAAGGAGAGAAATACAAATCATTACTATCCTGATGCATGCTCAATAATCCAGATAGAAAAATCCAAAAAAGTTCAATCTGGTCCTCTGGACATTCAAAAAAAAAATAAAAATGTAGAAACGTTTCGTCTCTCATCCGAGAGACTTTCTCAGTCTGAGGTGCTGTATTCAGCTCAGTCTCTTAAATAGCAGCTTCTCAGAGTGGATCAACTAGCTTGCTGCTGACAACCAAAACCAGCTGCTCACATGGTCAAGAAGGACCATCAGCCTAACAATGGATCATTAGCACACTGATAGCTGTTTACTATTCACAGGGGGTTGAGTGATTCTAGCAATAACAGCAAGAGGGGTACATTTGAACCCGGAGGCCTCCACCCCTGTTTAATGATGGACAATTTATTTTCACAAAGATGGCCTGGTGGAGGCCTCTGGGTTCAACTGCCCCCCTCTTACAATGCTGTTATTGCTAGTATCACTCAACCCCCTGTGAATAGTAAACAGCCATCAGTGTGCTAATGATCCATTGTTAGGCTGATGGTCCTTCTTGACCATGTGATCAGCTGGTTTTGGTTGTCAGCAGCAAGCTAGTTGATCCACTCTGAGAAGCTGCTATTTAAGAGACTGAGCTGAATACAGCACCTCAGACTGAGAAAGTCTCTCGGATGAGAGACGAAACGTTTCTACATTTTTATTTTTTTTTTGAATGTCCAGAGGACCAGATTGAACTTTTTTGGACAAATCATTACTATTTGATTTTAGACACGGATAAATGGCTAGAACAAGACTACTGTTGGCAGGTAATGCTCCAGCGCTGGCTGAATGTCTTCTGCAGACTTTTATGCTCCTTCATGCTCATCAAGTCGATGATCCACAGGTGTAGCTTAGAGTCTGTCTGTGGGTGCAGGAGCTGTCAGAGCAGAACTTGCACAGATGTTTATAAGACCTGTCTGATCATGCTCTGATGTCAGGTCCTTTGGTCTCATACAGCCCTCCATCTCTGATGGTCAGTGTCCTTGTGCCTTTGATAATAATGTGACCTGGATGAAAGCGTTTACTTGTTATCCTAAAACAAACATATTATGTTGCTCAGAATATATAAATTGTGCAGCTGTTACAGACATGCCCCAACGAGACCTGATCATTCAGAGGTGAGGTTCAGTCTCGCTGTCTTTGTCAGTGACAAGAAGGGAAGAAAAACCCAGTGATGGAAGAACCTGCTCATTCAGTATGTTCAGTCAGCTGTCCTCATTCTCAACATTGCAGAACCTAGACCAGACCGACTGCAGCAACCCCAGATCATAGACTGACCCCACAGGTTGTAAGGTAGGCACTAGGCATGATGGGAGTGGCACTTCAGCCGCCTCTCCTTACCCTGATGCTCACCCCCCCACTGCCCTTCCAGTTTTAATAATACGTTGAACCGTTTACCTGATTTTAGTAGTTTCAACAATCTACTCAGATGTGTCATTTCCTGTTCAGCTAAAAGTTGTTGCTGGTGGCATGAGGTTCTTGTGGCATGAGGTTCTTGAGGCATGAGGTTGAATGAACGAGGACACCTAATTAAAAAAATGCATGTGTTCTCTCTTACTGTTATATATTGGGGCAATGACATGAATAGTTTCTCAAGACTAAAACACAAAAAGACGAGGCTATAAGTGTTGTTGTATGACAATGACATTGTGATGTATTAGTTCTTGGGCACAACATATGGGTCAAACCTGATCACCTTATGTTCCACTCTGAAGAATTCTTAGCTTGACTTCCTTATTAACCAATTTGAGATCACTCTGACTGCTGTCTACTGCTGGTAACATATTGACTGCTTATACCTACTCCATCCAACTGCACATCAAAAACTGAAACTTTCACAAAATTTGTATGTGTAATTAGTAAATCTCACTTATGTCTTTCCCTTTAGCTCAACACAGACATTGAGAGTCACGTCAGAAGTATGTCGACCAGGAAAAGAATTCCTTCCAAGTCCACAGAGGATGTGAGTTTTTTTTACGCCGACACAACACTCAACACTTTTTTCTTCATGACAGGCCTTTTATCTGTTCTCAGGCTGCAGCCCCTCTGATGCGTTACCTTGAACAGGAGCTGCAGTACATGAATGAAAACCTGGTTCAGAAGAACTTCAACGGGTACGGAGCTAACTGGGTGTATGGGGTGTTGTTTGTAAAGTTACACAGTCAAAAAGTAACTGCAATATTTTGGTTTATTTAGCCTTTCATAAGAAAAACTAAAGTTGTTTTTTTCAAAGTCATATTTTCACCATGTTATTCATATATTTATAAATGTCATAGTTCCAAACTAAATATTTAATTAAAAAGCTAAATATTTCATTTAAAAACTAAATACTTAACTTGTAAGTTAAATATTTACTTAACAAGCTAAATATTTAGCTCCACACTAAATATTTAGTTTAAAAACTAAATGTTTATGTCCAAGCTAAATGTTTAATTTACAAACTAAATATTTAACTTGCAAGTTAAATATTTACTTAGTGAACTAAATATTTAGGTGTAAATTAAATATTTAATATCCAAACTAAACATTTAATTTCTAAGCTAAACATTTAATTCCTAAACTAAATATTTAATTTGCTAACTAAATATTAACTCGGACCTAAATATTTATTTTCCAAGCTAAACATTTCATTTCCAAAATAAATATTTAATTTGCTAACTAAATATTTAGACCGGACCTAAATATTTATTTTCCAAACTAAACATTTAATTTCCAAAATAAATATTTAATTTGCTAACTAAATATTTAGCTTGGACCTCAATATTTTTTTTCCAAACTAAACATTTAATTTTCAAATGAAATAATTAATTTGCTGACTAAATATTTAGCTTGGACCTCAATATTTATTTTCCAAACTAGACATTTAATTTCCAAAACAAATATTTAATTTGATAACTAAATATTTAGCTCAGACCTAAATATTTATTTTCCAAACTAAACATTTTATTTCCAAAATAAATATTTAATTTGCTAACTAATTATTTAGCTCGGACCTACATATTTAACTTGCTAGCTAAATATTTAGCTAAATATTTAGCTGATATGCAAATTCCTTGCAGAAAACTGAATTGGACTATCAAAATAAAAGCCTACATAGATCCCATGTGGCGTATGTGATATTCTTATGAAAGGCTAAATTAACCAAAATATTGCTATTAATTTTTGGCTGTGGAACTTTACAAACGGCACCCCATATCGGTGTCACATGTTCAAAAAGTCTTCTTTAACGTCCATTTTTTGTGTCTCGGTTTGTCTTAAGATGACGTGTCACCTTTTCCTCTCTGTTCAGTCTCCTGGAACCTTTATGGGAAAACTCGGTGAAAATCCTGCATCAGTTGACTGCTCAGTATTCACAACAAGAAGGGCTCATGGTGTTCAGCCAAAGACTGCTGTATACTCTGCAGGTTGGTGTCCAGTCAGGTGGCTTTATTACAACTGGTTCACATTGTGTCATGGGAAAAAGAAAGTCCACACTGTTCTAATTGCATCACTTCCTGTTTATTCAAGGTTTAATACATGAAAATATTAAATGTAGTGTGACTGGACTAATGTATAATCTATACAGATACTGTAAATTAAAAGCAAAATGCACCAAAATCACTATGGTGTAGCAAACGGTAACAAGCAGTATGCCGATGTTCCCCCTTGCTGAGGGATTTGAATAGTGACTGTAGTTTTATAGATTAGTGTTTTTTCTGGACTGGAGCTGAACAAGGACTGCAAGTAAACAAAGCTTTGGTGCAAGGTATTCAAGTGGGTAAAAGTTACAATGTGGAGAAGAAGAGCCTTTTTTTTGCTTGTTTGAGGCAGCGCAGGTTGATGGATCCTGGCAAGCGGAGAAAGCAGTTTTCTCCACGATGGAGCCAGAGGGTGGCCAATGGTGGCCTCGACCACCATAGATTAATCTTAGGCCACCCCACTGGCCAACTTAATCATTTGAGAAGACAATACATTTAAGCAATTAAAAAAACAGCACTTCTGACTTTGAGTTGCAAAACTTTCCCTCCATTTCAGCAGAAAGCAGTGGCCGGAAGCACTGTTGGCTTCTGCGTAGTGTAGTTTTTTTTTGATGGGCATTACAGTATAGGCTTATTGAAAGAAAAATACAAAATGGTGGTGCCTGTCTAAAGTATATTTTTTTTGTTAACTTTTTATCCCGTACCATCCCAATCACGTGTGTAATATTAAAGTTGACAATCATTGAAAAACCATAAAAGAGCAGGGACTACTGTACACCAAACACATAGTTACTACAATGCCAAGGTAGAAAGACTGCTGTTGTCTTGTCAACAGCAAGCGACTGTTGCTGCCCATCAATCATGAGGGTCTATTTCTTTCCTAATAACTTGGAGTTTAACATTTTAAAGAGAGAAAGATTATTCATATGTGGAAAACATTTAAGACAGGTGGCAATCCTCCTAGGAGGAGACGTTCCAGACAATTCACCCCAAGGTCAGACTGTTTTTTTTTTTTTTAAATTAAGTCCTGATTCATAAAACTCTAAAACTGATAGAGGGTGGATTTTATTTTTCCCACAACTGTAACCCCAGATTTATTTCACACAACACCTACAGCAGAACAGTCCCACTAAACACAAACATTTGACCAATTTAATCATTTAAAAAGCCAAACTCAGTTAAATTTGTCTTCTTGTCAGAGACACTAAAAACATTCTCATCAGGTACAACAGTCAATCATTAGAGGTGCAAATCACTTTTAATATTTGCTTTGGAGACAAGTGAAATACCTTCCTGTGGACCCACCACCTGCAGGAAGGGCCATAAAAGTCGGGTGCTTGATGCCATGGGCAGTGGCCGAAGGCGGGGACCTTGGCGCCCTGACCCTGGCTTACCAAAGATAGCTTTTGGGACATGGAACGTGACCTCTCTGGTGGGGAAGGAGCCTGAGCTTGTGCGTGAGGTTGAGAGGTACCGACTAGATATAGTTGGGCTCACTGCAATGCACAGCATGGGTTCTGGAACTGATCTCCTTGAGAGGGGCTGGACCTTATTCCACTCTGGAGTTGCCCATGGTGAGAGGCGCTGAGCTGGTGTGGGTCTACTTATAGCCCCCCCAACTTGGTGACTGTGTGTTGGAGTTTTCCCCGGTAGACGAGAGGGTGGCTTTCCTTCACCTTCGGGTTGGGGGATGGACTCTGACTGTTGTCTGTGCTTATGCACCGAACAGCAGTTCAGAGTATTTGGCCTTCTTGGAGTCCTTGGCAGGGGTGCTGGAAGGTGCACCAGCTGGGGACTCCTTTATTCTGCTGGGGGACTTCAATGCCCACATGGGTAATGACAGTGTGACCTGGAGGGGTGTGATTGGGAGGTATGGCCTCTCTGATCTGAACCCGAGCGGTGTTCTGTTGTTGGACTTCTGTGCTAGTCATAGTTTGTCCATCACAAACACCATGTTCGAACATAAGGGTGTCCATAAGTGCACTTGGCACCAGGACGCCCTAGGTCGTACATCGATGATTGACTTCATAGTCATGCCATCTGATTTGCGGCCATTCGCTTGAGAAGCAAGTCCGATCGTTGGTCGAACCTCAGATCCAGGAGGAACAATGTGGGTTCTGTCTTGGCCATGGACCACTGGATCAGCTTTTTACCCTCACTAGGGTCCTCGAGGGGTCATGGGAGTTTGCACATCCTGTCTACTTGTGTTTTATGGATTTGGAGAAGGCATTTGACCGTGTTCCTCAAGGTACACTGTGTGTGGGGGGGGGGGGTGCTCCGTGAGTATGGGATTGGGGGCCCATTGCTACAGGCTGTTCAGTCCTATACAAACGTGGTTCGCATTGCCGGCAGTAAGTCGGACCCTTCAGGGTGGGAGTTGGACTCAGGCCAAGGCTGCCCGTTGTCACTGATTCTGTTCATAAATTTTATGGACAGAATTTCTCAGTGCAGCCAGTGGGCGGAGGGTTTCTGGTTCGGTGGCCTCAGGATTCCATCTCTGCTCTTTGCAGATGATGTGGTCCTGTTGGCATCATCGTGCCGTGATCTTCAGCTCTCACTGGAGCGGTTCGCAGCTGAGTGTGAAGCAGCTGGGATGAGAATCAGCACCTCCAAATATGAGGCCATGGTCCTCAACCGGAAAAGGGTGGATTGCTCTCTTCAGATCGAGGGTGAGGTTCTGCCTCAAGTGGAGGAGTTCAAGTTTCTCGAGGTTTTGTTCACAAGTGAGGGAAGAATGGAGCGTGAGAATGACAGACAGATTGGTGCAGCGTCTGCAGTATTTTGGACTCTGCACCAGTCTGTTGTGGTGAAGAGAGAGGCTGAGCTGTAAGGCAAAACTCTCTGTTTACCGGTCAGTCTACGTTCCTACCCTCACCTATGGTCACAAGCTCTGGGTAGTGACCAAAAGAATGAGATTGCGGATACAGGTGGTAGAAATGAGTTTCCTCCGCAGGGTAGCTGGAGTCTCCCTTAGAGATTGGGTGAAAAGTTTGGTTATCCAGGAGAGGCTCGGAGTAGAACCGCTGCTCCTCCACATCGAGAGGAGCCAGTTGAGGTGGTTCAGATGCCTCCTTAGGGAGGTGCTTCAGGCATGGCCTACTGGGAGGAGACCCCGGGGAAGACCCAGGACACACTAGTGTAGTGAACTAAGCCTCAGGTCAAATCCTGACCTTGAGGGCCTTCCTGGGACAAGAACTGTATTTCATTGATTTGAGTCCAGAAACACAAAATCAAGTCCATCCAGAGACTTTCTAAGTGTGTCCTGCACTGATCAATTGAAAGAACACTCTCTTTTTATTATCATTACTATTTTACAAATGTCGTGATAATCAAAAGTGTGTTTAGTTCAAACCATTTTAAATGTTGAAGTGAACTACTCATTTTAAATCAACTGTGAAACAGTATTAATGAATTTTTAATCCTCATTCAAAGTAGAAATCAAGTTAAGGTCTGTTACAGAGTAATTATTCATTTTTCTTGATCTTCTGTCTGAAATGAGCAAGTGTAAGTTGGTCAAAGGTCAAGTTTCGGTCAACTGTAAGTTTACTGGAAAGAAATGTCATGTTTAACTTTTACAGAAAGATATGAGAGAACTGAATCCACGAAGTCTCGGGATCTTCATAACATCTTCTGTCTGTTCTTAAACAATCTAATCTTTTTCCCTTGACTTTTAATAACCTCTTACATCACTAAAACACACCCCTGTTCGGTCAATCGACCAATCAGGAAGCTCTCAGAGGAACCGGAAGTGACCTCTTTAAAAGGTTCAACACTTCCTAGTTCCAGTAGATTGCAGTAGAGTGCGAGAGAGTGCAGGAGTGTGCGAGAGAGTGCGGAGAGAGAATGCAGAGTTCAGAATGCTGGAGAACCACGGCAACTAAGCTGAATGAGAGAAGTTCAGAGGAACTATGAAGAAGTCTGTTCTGGGATGATCTCACGACTCCGAACGGTTCCCTACTATCCTTACGGAGACGCTGTAAAGCGTTGAAAGACAACTCTACACCGAGGCCGAACTATCGTCTGCAAAGGTAAAAGAGTCGATCTTCAACCGCAAAGTGTACCATTGGTTAAGCTGGGTCCAAAGGAGCGTGTTGTTCTGGTTATGACAGACAAATTCCCTCACCCATCTCTCTCAATTTAAACTTCATTTCCATCTTTAAACTCTTCTATCTTGCTAGTAATTAATCCAGATATTTTCAGAAATGTCTGTTGTAATGCTTGAAGTGAGGAAACCATGGCCGTATGGTTTTCTAACTGTAAAGCTAATTAATTAAGCTGTTGTTGAAATCAATTTGCCAAATTAATGTAAATGTGTGATGTTAAACTTTGATTCTGTTAATAAATGACCGCATTCATTTGATGGGTCAAAGAAAATTAACGTCTCACGTCACATTTAATTTCAATGCACGATATTATTCAGTCCAGAAAAATGAATGAATCCGTTTAATTTATGAATATATCACAGATATATGTTCCTCTACACTAGAGAGACTATGTCTCTCGGTTGACCTGGGAATGCATTGGGGTCCTCCCTCAAGAGCTGGAAGAGGTGGCTGTGGAAAGAGATGTCTGGGCTCCCATACTCAAGCTGCTGCCCTCGCGACCCGACTTCAGAACAAGCGGAAGATAATGGATGGATGGATGGACAAGTGAATTAACAACTGTTACTAGTTCCTTCTTTTGGATCGGTTTCCAGAAAGACTTCAAGCACAATTCTAAGTTTAGTGTTTAAACATTATCTAAACTAAATGAGCACACAATAAATAAATGGTAAGAATAAAACATAAGAATATGGTCTTGTATATTCTGTCAAAATGAAGGTGGAAAGATGGAAAATTGTACATATCTGCAATCTTATTGTTGAGTAAGGAAGTAAGTAAGTAAGGATGTAAGGAAGGAAGGAAGGACTTACTTAAGTAAGTAACCTTACTTCCTTACTTACTATACAGATAATTAACCTTGTAGGGAATATAGTTCCCCAACATGCACTTTGGTAATGTACTGTTACCAAAGTGCATGTTGTACAGTTCCTGTTTTAAATGTGCTATACAAATAAATTTGACTTGACTTGACTTCCTTAATTACTTAATTATTTACTTCTTTCCTTCCTTACTTACATCCTTTCTTCCTTTCTTACATCCTTCCTTCCTTTTTACATCCTTCCTTCCTTCCATCCTTCCTTCCTTCCATCCTTCCTTCCTTCCATCCTAACTTACATCCTTATTTATTTCCTTCCTTACAGCCTTCCTTCTTTACTTCCATCCTTCCTTCCTTCCATCCATCCTTCCGTCCTTCATTTATTACATCCTTCCTTACTTCCATCCTTAGTTCCTTCCTTCCTTTTATCCATCCTTCCTTCCTCCCTTCCTTACATCTTTCCTTCCTTACATCCTTCATTTTTTACTTCCTTCCCCTAACTTGATGTGTATTATAATTCATTACTTTACTTAAAAAAAAGACATTACAATCAGACCAACAGCTTCATCATACAGGACGTTCTGTTCTCCTCTGTGTGGTCTTCAGAGTCTTGAGCAGTGCTTTCATGCTGAGGGAAACGGACTTTCTCTGAAAATTCTCCACTCTGACGAGTACAAGGTGAGTGGCCAGCAGCTGAGGTTTACGTCCCTGAAAGGTTACTTCATCCTCACTCGCGTCAAATGGAAAGTAAAAGGAAAATCCTCTCATCCAGACTCTAAAGGCTCTCCTCACTCACAACTCTCTGAGCAGCCAGCAGCTTGTGGAGAAGTTCTTTAAAAGAAAAATAACAGAGCAGGTGAGTTTGAATGGAGCTCTTTTCATATTTACTGACTAATCTGGAAAGATCTGTTCTATTAATGTTATTATGTTATATTCTGCCTTTTATTGCCCACTGCTGAAGGCGAAGTGATAAAGTTTGTGTTTGTTTAGATGTAGTGTTAGCAAACGTCTCATGAACCACGGGACAAATTCCAATTAAACCCCCAGAAAGTAACCAGTGGATTTACATCGGTAGCTGATAACCTTTTGGAGTCAACCTGATTTAAAATGGCTGCTATAGCTAAGCACCCGTCTAAACCAAAAAAGTACTACTCAGTCAGTTTTACCTATGTCGAGCTAAACTTTGGCATGGTAGTAGTTGAGAGTTGTTCCCTAACTGACCACTGGAAACACAAAAATGCCTCTAAGCCAGTTTCACAGATACTGAGGTAAAGTTTGTTGTGGGTGTAGCCAAGTATTTTCCACAACACATATGTTGATCACTGCTATGAGGCAGCCGTGGCTTAGTGGTTAGAGCAGTCGCCCTCCAAAGGGAGAGTTGCGGGTTCAATTCCACCAGCAGTCACATGCTGAAGTGTCCCTGGGCAAGACACTGAACCCCTCATTGCCTCTGATGTGTCCCATCAGTTTATGAATGTGATAAAGCTCTGATTAGTCTTTGTATAGATCTTGTAGAGTTCTGTATGAATGGGTAAATGAGGACACAGTTTGTGTTGTAAAGAGCTTCGAGTATCTTGACAAGATAGAAAGTCACTTTATAAATACAGTACATTTACACAATGAATGATATTTTTGCTAAAACAAAATGACAAGAGCGACTGGTGTCAAACTGTTAGTTATCAAAAAGTGTCATGAACCAGCTGACTGTTTTAATGAATCTCTCAGAAAGTAATTGCTTGTTGTACATCTACAGCTCCTTAACATTTAGCGTCAACCCAATTCAAGATGGCCACCATGAGTGACAGACTTTAACTATCACAAAAATGGCTAGAACTCAGTCATATTTACAGATATTGAGCTAAAAGTGGCATGGTAGTAGAGGAAAGTCGTTCTCAGCTCATATTTCATGCACTAGCAGATCAGGTAATTTTTAATACCCTATAAAATTGCATATAGGGAGAGTGTTGGCGCAGAGGTTAGAGAAGGTGGTTGGAAGTTGCCAGTTCAACTCCCTGTACCGATAACATCAAAATGTGGGTGGACAGGTAAAGCACCCACACACAGGGGCGGCTGTGGCTGAGTGGTTAGATCAGTCATCCTTCAATGCAAGAGTTGGGGGTTCGAATCCACCATCAGTCACATGTCGAAGTGTCTTTGGGCAAAACACTGAACCCCTCATAGACTCTGATGTGTGTCCCATCAGTGTATGAATGTGGTAAATCTCTGATTAGTCTCTTTAGAATGATTTGTTCAATTAGCTTTGTAGAAATCTAGTAGAGTGCTGTATGAATGGGTAAATGAGGACACAGATTGTTGTGTAAAGTGGTTTGAGTATCTTGAAATAAGATAGAAAGGCGCTATATAAGTACAGTCCATTTACCATTTACCTGCCTCCACCCTCATTTGCCCCACCCTGGGCCCTTGAGCAAGGTCCTTAACCCCCACCATCTGCTTCATGGGGTGCCCTAAATGGTAGCTCTCTGCTCCACACAGAGGGCTGTGGTATCTTGATAGTCTGTGGTTGCATCAGGAAGGACATCAGGTGTAAAAACAATCGCCAAGTCTTCATGCAAGTTAGTTCACTGTGGCGACCCCTGAAGAATGGAGCAGCCGAAAGAAGAAGACAATAAAATTGCTTGTACAGTATTGTCATTTAAAGGTTTGACCAAAACAGCGATAACTCAATAACTTCTCAGCATAAAATGATCTTGGTTTAAAACTCTTGCACGACTGTGTGGTAGACCAAATGAATTACTTCAATTCATTAAAGATGATTGAAATACTTCAATTAATGTCAGGCTTTTAATTTTGTTCTGTCCTTGCTGTTCCTTCCAGAGAAACTACAGTGGAGAGAAATACGGTGCGGTGACCCTCCTCACATCCTACAGAAAGTCTGACCAAAAACTGAGGGTTGAAGTGCTGAATGCAGTCAACCTCTTACCGATGGACTCTAACGGTAAGACCTGGGAAAACAACAGCACAGTTTAAACAGAGCTCTAAGGTCTTTTTCTTGTTAATGCTTTGATGCTTCTCAGGTTTCAGTGACCCTTTTGTGCACCTGTGTCTGGAACCTAACCACATCTTTCCTGAGGTTGAACCTCGCTGCACTCTGATCAAAAGCTGTGATCTCAATCCGCTCTTTGACGAGTCCTTTGAATTGTAAGTTGTTGTCCTTCTCCTGAGTGTCAGCATCAATAGTTACCACCTGCTTCATGGTTCTTATTTACAAATAAAATGCTTTTATTCTTTGCCGTTTTTTTTCCCTTCTTTTTGTTAAATGCTCTCAAAACAGTGTATTGTATCTACTTTTTGTCCCTCACTGCGGCGTGAAAAGAGGGATTTGAAAATACCCTGTTAGTCTGTGTATGTTGCGAGCATGATCATTTTAAAAATATGTGAGGTACGGATTTCCATTATGGTGTGTGGCAACATCTAGGCATAAGAAAAGCCAAAAACTATGTTGCCATGTCAAAATACAAGATGGCCATCACCATAATTATGTTTATTGACTACCTCTATCATTTGCGGAAACTACGGTATGCTTTACAGTATTGTCTTTATATTGCATAATTGTAGTTTCCTCAACTGATTAGGGTGGTCGAAGATTAACCTATGATAGTCAAGGCCACCATCGGTCACCCCCTGGCTCTGCCACTATGCCTGGTCATGCATAAAATTGCTCGCTCAACTCGTCAGGATCTGTCACTCTGCTCTGCTTCGGACAAGAAAACAAAGAACAAAATGTACCTCTGTCCTTTCGCTCAGTGTTACACCTACTAACTTGAATATCTTGTACCAGAAACATTAAGGCTAATTTGCATTCTCTGTTCAATTCCAGTCCAGAAAAACACTTGTCTCAAAAACTCCAAACATTCACTAATCAAATCCCATTGCAACAGGAGACACTGCTAGTTATACATGCTTTAAGATTAATATCACCTACCCTTTATTTTTTTGTTTCAATCTGTTCAGTTAAATGACTACACAGCATACAACATTACTGATTTGTAGAAAGAAGAATTGGCTGAACAAGTTTAAGTTTAGTGTGGATTTTTCTCCGATTCATTCAAAATCAAAACTGCACGAGAAGACCACGAGGAGGGAAACGTGTCAGGAGACAGAAGGAGAAGAGGAAAGTGAAGAATGTAGGACTGAGGGTTGCAACTCTAAATGTGGGGACAATGACAGGCAAAGGTAGAGAGCTGGGTGACATGATGCAGAGAAGGAAGGTAGAGGAAACCGATCAAATGTTGATTTAAAAATCACACTTTTAATGAAGTGGGCCGGATTAAAGTCACCTTCTGGCCCGTGGGCCGCCACTTGAATAGCCCTGTTCAATCCGGCCCACTTCATTAAAAAATATATTTTTTGGTGGGGGGTTCTGCGTTTGGGTTCTATTTATTGCATTTATGATTCAATGCAATAAAATAAATTTAAAAGGTAAATCATTGTAAAACTTGGCTTTTACATAATGACTTTAATCGCTGGATGTCTGGCCCCCAAGCTGTTGACTTTCAGAAACTATGACCAGTTTTATTGTATATCCCTGCTATACACCTTGCAATAGAGGGGGTCATGAAAATTTTAAAATAATGTTAAAAATCCTGGCTAAGTTACATGAAATCAGTCTTTAAACTGACTGATATACTGAGAATCAAAAATAGCAAATAAGCAGAATATACACGTTTGGTCCCAAAGGTGCTTTCATGGTTAAAGGTCTTACTTTTGAAGTGGGACTTCTTTCTTGGTCGATGTAAAACTGTCTTCCTTGTGGGCAGAAACACTGCTGTTCATGCATTTGTGGGGTTTAGACGAGTATTGGTCAATGCCATTTGTTATGTCTCATAAATCTGGATAATGCTTTCAAACCCACTGATCTGCTTTCTACTTCTCAGCCTGGTCTCATTGGATCAGTGCCTGGCTCCAGGAGCTTGCCTGGCAGTCACAGTTCTGGACCATGACACCTTGAAAGCAGATGATTTTGAGGGGGAAGCCTTCCTGGCCCTTGAGGACATACCAGGAGTTTCTAATGATCAAGAAGGACAGGAATCAATTCCCCAGCCAGACTCATCGCCTGAGCAAAAACGGCTGCCTCTGATGCACCCTATACCTAATGGTACGATATGTCGGTAGGATTTAACCAGGAGAGTAAAACATAAATCAGGCTATGGTCTAATACTTTGGGCCAAAGATATTTACAGAAGTACTGCTAATAACTTCTCTGATACCTTAATTCCACTGTATTACTGTACTGATATGATTGAACATCAGTTGGTCTGAGAAGTAGAGAATATCCATCCATTATCTTTACCCGCTTCATACTTTTCTGGTCACTGGTGCCATGTCCAGCCATCACCGTGATGGAGGCAGGGGACACCTGCGCAGGTCTCCAGTCCATCACAGGGACACCTAGAGACAAAGGAGACAACCATTCACTCTCTCGCTTACACCTAGAGACAATTTAGAGTTACCAATCAGTCTAACATACATGTTTTTGGTCTGTGGGAGGAAACTGGAGTACCTGGAGAAAACCCATGCAGCACAGAGAGAACATGCAAACTCCACCCAGAAAGGCCCCCGGCAGGGATTTGATCCAATGACCTTCTCAACTAGAGAGAATTTTTTTAATGAAATTTGACACTCTAAAATGTTTCTGCTCATTTCAAATGACATCAGTTGTGAATTAAATTTCACTCTGGGTGGCACAGTTGGTAGAGATGCCCTCTCTCATCGAGAAGGTTGCCGGATCAAATCCCGTGTGGGGACCTTTCTGGGTGGAGTTTGTATGTTCTCTCCGTGCTGCATGGATATTCTCTGGGTACTCCAGTTTCATCCCACAGACCAAAAACATGCATGTTAGACTGATTGGTAACTCTAAATTGTCCCTAGGTATGAATGAGAGTGAATGGTTGTTTGTCTCGTTTGTCTCCGTCTCTGTGATGGACTGGAGACCTGTCCAATGTACCCTGACTCTCAGTGACTGCTGGACATAGGCACCAGCTGCACCCAGAGAAGAATAAGCGGGTAAAGAAAATGGATGGATGTTCTTGAGAACAACACTTTTCATCAAATATTATTTTTATTCAAGTGATTGGATCAACTCGTTTATGAACAGCTGACCCCAACTTAGCTACTCGGCTAATCCATGATATATTGATTGATCCATGATTTTTTTTTTCCTGCTTGCTCTCGACGAAGGTGGATGCTTTTTCCTCCCACTCCTGCTTCTCTCCTGCTTGCTCTTTGTCCTGTGAACCTTCTCGGAGCCTCTCTTTACATATCTTCTGAGATGTAAATTATGCATCTGGTCAGCTGCTCTCTCAATGCAATTGATGAATTTTCTTGAGAAGACAGGGCGCCCTCTTGCCGTGACAGGACACTTTCAGCTGGATACACGATGGATTCCTGGGAGCAGTGGAAGATCATGTGTCTGTCCATATTGTTGGTTGAGGATGTTGAAGACGCATACATAATTGGATTAATGATAACAGGGTTTCTACTTTTTGGAGTTGGTGGTTACCTAGCATTATCGACAAATGTGAAAAACGTCGGCAGCTGTTCTGGCCATTGTGAGGCTGCCCCGGCTTGTGTGATGGAATGTGACATGTGATGAGCACTCAGACTCAAATGCCAAGTGAACAGAGCTGTAAGCTGGACGAGATTTCTGAGAATCGCAGGCCACTTGCGGACCTTGAAACTCACTGGTGAGAAGGCATAGACCTTGGAGAAGCTACAAGCTCGGCCTGGCGGTGCTGACCACAAAATCTGGCTGTTTGGAGTCATCATTGCCGTCACTTTTTATTGTCTGTCCAAACAGGTCTCACTTGAGTCTTCGAGGCTCAGTATGACTTATCTGTTTAAATAAAGGTTGAATGAATGAATGAATGGAGACGTACCCGTAGAACTATAAGGCAGACAGAAAATCAAGCAGAGTCGTCCTGATTGAAAATAACTTATCTGAATCTGGCTCGCCCGTGTCTGCCTTGAATTAGCCAATTATCTCAAACTCTCCTGGAGGTTATGGGAACAAGAAGCTCTGCTCCACCCCACTTCCCGAGGACATCTGTGGACATGTATCTGAGCCGAGTCGGCTGATAGACACTGCACCATCTCTTATCAGGACTATGGAAATATCTGGCAGTGTCAACGGACAAACTCACCACCTTCGTCGGCCTTCCTCATGCATATGTATTATAGTGTCATCAATATGTTGATATTTCTGTGCCGTTTTTTTCCCCCAAAAAACTTTTTTTCCCAAAAAAAACTTTTTTTCTCTGTGTCCCATGTAAGACAGAGTGAGATATGATTTTTTTTATATATACATCCTCTTCCCTCGTGTTTCTCTTTTCCTTATCTAAACGAAAAGGGCAGCAGCCTCCCATGAGGCCGCAGCCTCAGACACCTCCATCTCCCCATTTTCATTTACCCTTTATTTAGCCAGGTAGTCTCATTGAGCCACGAGAACTCATTTTCAAGAGAGACCTGTTTAGGGAGCAGATGGTGGGGGTTAAGGGCCTTGCTCAGGGGCCCAGAGTGGGGCGAATGAGGATGGAGGGAGGTGTGGGTGTTCCACCTTTACCACCCACATTTTTGATGTTGATGGTACCGGGAGTTGAACCTGCGACTTTCCGATCACAGGCCCATCTTCTAACCTCTGCGCCACCACTCCCCCATGTCTGTTTATGTTTTCTCGGCTGGGCTGTACTGAAATGTAATATTGTTGTGCTTGGGTGCAATGACAATAGAGCTGATTCTAATAACTAGAAGAACCTGAATGTGCATCTTTGCCTATTTTCTTTTCTAGAGGACAACATCTTGAAGTTACTGGAGTCAAGGAAAGGAGAGCGGGAGGCGCAGGCTTTTGTGAAGAAGCGACGGCAGCGAGAGAAACAATCCCAGGAAGGCGTTCGGTCATAATAAACACACAAAGACACGTTCTTCCTCCAAAAATATACAATTTGTTTTAATGATCAGTACCAAAAACAGAGAAAAAAAGCACTCAGAGGAAAACATTGGCGCTGAACAAGTTGTGTGGACAATATGCAGAGCATGGGTTTACCAAAGATCAACATTTCCACACCTCCACTGAAACATTTACACATCTGTTCGCTTCCCGATGCTTTGTCCAATCAGTGCAAGAGAAAGGTAGAACATCGCTTTTGTTTGTGTATACATTTATATGTAATATAGATATTAAACACTGTGTGAGTGAAATGCTAAAGATTACCACCGATGTAAAAACTTGGCAGAGGAAACCGATCAAATGTTGATTTAAAAATAGCTTATGAGCTCCTTTTAACAAAGAAATAAGTTGTTGAGAGTTTGCTGCACTGACATGAACGTTGTTAAAAAAGAATAATAAAACAAACACAAGCTGAGTATGCTGGCCCCAGTTCATGCAGAGGAAAATGAAAGACAAACCTGAGCGTTGTAGACCGAGGCCACTGGTTGTAAATTTAAACAAATACTACCTAAAATATTTTAGTAATAATTTTTAATACTAATACTATGAAAAAAGATATCTAAAAGAACAAAACAAGTCAATACATTGTTGAAGACTCCTCTCAGGACAGTGGTGTAACTGTGTCTTTTTGGCTGTAGCGGTAATCTTTGTCCAGATGAGACCAAATATGCCCTTTAAGTGTTTCTCAAGTGCCTCGTTGAACACCCCCCCCCCCCCACCCGATGGCTTTAAACCTAGAAAAGTACATTTAAAAACTGATTATCTACTGTGTCAGTTATCCATCGAGGAAGCTTTGAGATCAACACGTCATGATCACCTCAGCATGAATGTTAAACACACAATCTTTTTTTTGTGGGGGTGTGTGGGGGGGTGGGGGTGTAATTCATTGTTTAATCTAAAGAAGTTAAATCAGGTCCTCTGGACAGATTAAAACGAAAATAAATAAATAAAAAAACTTGTTGAAATGTTTCATCTTTTATCCAAAAGACTTCTTCAGTCTGAGGAGCTGCAATAAACTCAAACAGCACCTTCTCATAGTGGATCAACCAGTTTGTTGTTGACATCCAGAACTAGTTCACATGAATGGATGGATCGTTAGTGCCCTGATGGACAGGATCTCTTCACAAAGATGGCTTCCTTCATCTTCCTTCTTTATGGGTGAAAAAAACCTGTCCATCATTAAACAGGGGCAGAGCCTCTGTGTCCAACTGTCCAACTCTTACAATGCTGTTATTGCTAGTATCACTCAGCCCTCTGTGAATAGCAAGCAGCCATCAGGGCACTAACAATCCATCCATTCATGTGAACTAGTTCTGGCTGTTTGAGTTTGTTGCAGCTCTTCAGACTGAAGAAGTCTTTTGGATAAAAGATGAAACATCTCAACAAGTTTTTCATTTTATTTATTTATTTATTTTAATTCATCCAGAAGACCTGACTTAACTTTGCTAGATTTTTTAAACCTGGATTATTGAGCATGTTTCAGTATATTCATTGTTTAATGTTTGTAACTTTTCAGTGTCACAAAAATACAAATCCTCAGCAAATCACAAAACTACCCAGATGGATGCGTGACGCTGCAGCGAAATATTGTCTCTGAGGCGAGATCAAATGTCTGAAATACATTATTTAACACTAGTTCTGTAGATGGTTCATGATTAATGTGAAAAAAGAAACAACAGCAGGTAGATAATGCTCACAAGTCAAGTGCACTAACTAGAAGAATGTTTGTTTTTTTCATTGGGTAACACTGGAAACATTATTCATCCTAAATTCCACAATAAGAGCTTTAACTTAGTGACTAATTCTCACTAAGCTGCTCATTTAATGCCGTTTTTTAAAGTACACAATCAAATCAGTGCTTGTGTTATTATGATTTTACAATGAAAACAATCTATCTGAAATGAGAGTCAGGATCTAAAGCTGGTAACGTGTGGAATCAGGACTGACTGGTCTGGGATCAGGAGCTGTCGGGGGGTCAGGAGAGCTGTAGTTTGGGGGTCTGTTCGGGGCACAGCGGGCACTTGGTGGACGCGGAGCAGCCGTCGCACTGAAGTCCGTGACCACAGGGCAGCGACACCGAGCCCGGCTCTCCACACGTCACACAGCACCGTCTCTGTTTCCTGTAAACCACCTGACAAACACAAACAGGAATATAAAATTGCTGAGAAGATAAAAACAGGCAGGTTATTACACTGTGAGTCTGTGTCCGTTAACGTCAAACACAGAAAAACATTCATCACACCCGCTCCGTTCTATAAAACCACAACAGAACCGGCTCCAAACTAAACGAGCGGGACGCCCTCCGTCGCTGAGGGGTTTCAATAGTGAGTGTTTGTAGTTTTTGAGGTGAGTGTTTTTCTGAACTGGATTTGAACAGGGTGTGCACGTAAACTTAATAAAACAAAGAAATCTGAATTATTATTGTTTTTTGGTTTTTTTTTGCTTGTGCAAGGTAACACAGAGTGACGGATACTGGGAAGTGAAGGGAGCAATTTTACCCACCAGGTGCAATGGAGGAGCCGGGGGGGGGGGGGGGGGGGAGTCATGACAGTGTTACCCTACCATTATATAAGTGGGGTGCCACACCCCGTCAACAGAACTGAGCACCCCGCCTACCAAATGGAATTTGCCCCCACCCACCCGGCGCTGAGCTAGCGGCGCCAAATACAGGCTCTCTAGCTAAAAAGCTAAAGGCAGCGCTCGCATTGCCTCTTCTCTCAAGCTGAACCCCCCACGCACTCAAAAACAAATAAATTTGTACAAATAAATGGTATAAGATCTGACCTCTGCAATATCACGTGTGGAGTTCCTCAAGGCTCTGTACTTGGACCAAAGTTATTTATTTTATATGTGAATGACTTAGTGAATGTATCAGGACTCCTCAAATGTGTCCTATTTGCAGATGACACCACATTTTTTAGTTTGGGTAAAGATGTAAAACGGATGTTGGAATTGATGAAGACAGAATTTGATAAAATGCAAACTTGGTTTAAACTTAATAAATGATCATTAAATTTAGATAAAACTAATTACATGATATTTAGTAACAAAAAGAGAACTGTTGATGATCCATTTAAAATTGAGGGTGTTGAGATTTGTAGAGTTAATGAGATGAAATTTTTGGGTGTAATCATTGATGAACAGCTAACATGGAAAAATCACATAAATTATGTAAGAATAAAAATATCTAAATCTATTGCAGTACTATACAAAGTCAGGGAATTATTAAATGATAAAGCTCTGTACATGTTGTATAACACAATCATTGTTCCACATTTAATCTATTGCATTGATGTTTGGGGGAAAGCATGTAACATTTACAAAGCCTATTTTTATTTTACAGAAAAGAGCTGTAAGAATCATCACCAGAAAGCATTACTGTCACCCATCAAGCACATTATTTTATCAACTGAAGTTATTGAAGTTCCATGATTTGGTAGATTATAGTATTTTATCAGTTATGTATAGGGCTCAAAATAACACATTACCATTAAATATCCAAATAAATTTTGTTAAAAGACAAAGTTGTTACAATCTTAAGGGGATAGAGATATTTGTCAAACCAAAATTCAGAACTAGTCTGAAGGGAAGGTCTACCTCAATCCAAGGAGTTGGATGGTGGAATGGTCTAGAGAGTGATGTTAAAAATGCCAAGTCAATGTGTACATTTAAGAAAAAGATCAAAGCTGGATTGTTAAAAAAATACATATATAAAGTAGCTTAGTGTGTTTTTTGTATTAGAATTAGAAAAATTAGAAAGAGTTATTCATTTTGTTCTGTTACTTGAAAATTATTATGATTGAACTAATTGTGTGAAAAAAAGGGGCAGATATAATAAGATTTTTTTCTTCTTCTGCTGCCTTTCATTTTAAATCTCTTGTATTTTTTATATTGATATGAAATTGTTTTGTATTTTTTTTAAATGAATAAACTTTATACCATGCCAAAAACTGTATAAACAGCGTACAACTCAAACGTGTCATGCTAAGCTATCAGCGCACAATACAGGCACTCTAGCTAAAAAGCTGAAGGTGCCTCTTCCCTCATGCGGAGCCCCCCACCCCGTCAACAAAAATCATGGATGAGAACCCCGCCATGGCAAGTTAACTAGGGGAAACACTGCATGACCACCATCGTTTTATCTTCATCCATCTCAATCATTTGAGGAAACTATATTTTTAAGCAATTTACAAACTACAAAGCATAGTTTCCTTAAATGATGTGTGTGTGTGTGTGTGGAGGGAGGAGGTGGATGGTCGTATGCACGGAGGGATGGATGGATGGATAAATGGATGTATGCATGCATGGATGGATGGATGGATGCATGGATGAATGATATATACATGGATGTATGGATGTATGGATGCATGGATGTATGAATGGATGGATGGATGGATGGATGGATGGATGGATGGATGGATGGATGGATGGATGGATGGATGGATGGATGGATGGATGGATGGATGGATGGATGGATGGATGAGG